AATTGAAAAATGAACGTGGCTTCGGTGATTTGTTCGGAAAGCGTGCAGTTAGTTTCGTTGCTGAGAACTTTTGTCTTGTCTTGGTGGTATCATGATTGTTGCTCTTAATCACAGCTAGTGTTAATAGTGGGCTAATTGGTCTTACCTGTTCCATTCTTCTCTATTACTTCGAAAACCGCTAAAAGTAGGAGCACTTACTTTAGTAGTCCTTGCGTGGGAAACAAAGAAAATATTTCATTGCATTATTAATTGGCACACAGTTAATACATTTAACATGTTTCCGTTGGCAAATTAGGATAATTGTTACATAGGAGTTTCGATAATCCGGGGGAAACGAGGGGCGTTTAAATGAAACAAATGGAAGCCTCTATCAGTACATCTATTGCGTGTTCGTTCAACTCAAATCACCGTTGTTCAAACAAGCTCTGTAAACGTTCGGAAACACAGGGGAACGATTTTAGAAATATTCCATTTCGCGATTATCTTACATCAAGCAACGACGCGACAGTTCGAACATTTCGTCTATTCGAAATTAAAATGAATCAGGCATTCTAGGCTGTCGTCGTTTTTACTCACCGTGTTTACGCGTGCAGTTCCTGAAACTTTTTAAAAGAAACTTAACACCAGAATAAGAGAAACACAGATTACCGAAACTCCATGGCGTTACCTGATTTCGTCCATTCTGAAATATCCAATCGATACTTCGTTAACCCGTTTCAACGTTTCAAAGTTGTTGCCCAATCACGCTTATCGCGAGCTTCAAAAATACTGTCAGAGAAAAATTCGATACTTTCGCTGCGATAAATCACACCGATTGAGGAACTTCAATTTTCGGAACGTCCGATAATCGTCCCCGGGAACGCTCGATAATCGATAACGGTCGATAGAAGGCGGGCATATTCGGGATTTATTTATTGCCGGTAACAATGGTGCCGCCGTTCACGAAAACCGAGCAACAAAACATGAAATGTAGCCCGTGTAACACGAGCTTAATTGGAAAATAATAAAAAACCAGTGACATTTTGAAAACAAAAGAACGTGTATCTCTTTAAAAAATAAAAACATAACGTTGACCTATTTTCGGATGAAATCAAAATAAAATTACAAGCTAAACTCTACGTCGGCTTACAAACGATTTGTCTCTACTTAAAATTTCAGTTTCCGCATTCCGTTTCACGAATCTGTTCATCGTAAATTGCATACACTGTCCGGACAGTTCGCGCTCTGACATGCTTCCGACAGCCATGTCTCCAACAGCCGCGTTCTCTACGAAAAAATTACCAAATGAAATTACCGTGTGTCATCAATGTACGCTATCGTCGCTAATAGATATTTAATTCACAGAAAATTATACTTGCAATCATAAATTTATAGCATTTCTAATCGCACAGGCAATTATTATATCAAAATTTACACTATTTACAATGATAGATTTATAAAACTCATAATCACATAGCGAATTACATTCATAATACTCCCAGGTAACATCATCTTTCAAACTAAATTTCTAAAGACCTCTACACCGAAACAGCCGAGTCGTTTTAAAGAAAACACCGGGAAGTTCTCGTCGGTTTCGTAACCGCGGCTCTTATAGCCGTTACACTTTGATATTTCCGTGGTTTGCAAATATCGCCAGGCTGTTTGCTAATTCATCGTCCGCGGCTAAAGTCTTCGATCGCGGCGCAGGAACGAGACGGCTGTCGTTCACATGCCATTTGTCAACTTCAGACGCTTTTAAATACTTGATCAGCCCTCCGCTTGAAATAATCGCCCGTATTAATTGCCATGGAATTTATTTAGATTCGCGACCGGAACGAAATCGTTCGAACGAATGAATTTTCCATCGAACCGCGGGCGGCAATGAAACGCGAGACCCGGCGCGATCGGGGGATTCGAAAATGGATTTCCGGTCAGACCAATGATTTCAGCCCCCTTGTCGTCGCAGCTTCTTCCCCTCATTTCTCAAGTTTTTCTGCGACGGCCGCGGGGATCGATGTTGCCGCCGCCTTTGTCTCGCAAGATGCGATTCTCTCGTTCGAGGACCGACGGCTGACCCCGGGCCGGATCGATCGCGACACTTCGACCATCAAGAACGGATAAAAATGACAATGACACATTGGACGACCTGTTTCGGGCCCGTCGAGAGGCACGATGAACTCGAGGACAGCCGGCCAGCTTTCTTTCCTGTTGAATAGTCTCTCCAATCCTCGGTTTTCTCTGTTCGGCCAGACATTTCTTGTCGTTACCTTAAATCTTCTTGATCTTTCGCCTCGTATTTCGTTTTTTCGTCGAATCTGCCAGTTCGCAGGAGTCTTGAGAACGGAAGTATATCTACTTTTCGTCCCATTCTGTCGAGGCAGCATCGAGAAAACGACAAACGATCAGCGAAGATTAAATCTCGCGTAGAATGAATTGTTTTCGGACAGTCCGCTGCAAGACTCTTCCCGAGCGCTGCTCGCAACGTACATCGTCATGGAATTGGTTAAAGTGTTCGGCGACAGTAGACGGCGAGTACCGAGCCGGAATTGCGCGGGGAAAGAGCTGAAAATAATTGGTTGTGAAGTTTTAATTCAGCCGGGGAAAGTTTGCCCGGTTAATGGGCGCAACAAAACGAAAGCTCGCAGCCCTTCAGTTTATGCCCGGCGGAATTAATTCGTTCGTCCCCGCGACTTTTCAAGAACGTCGCGGGCAATCGGGCATGGCTGGATTTTAATCGAGCCCAGCTCGGAATGATTCGCGACGCTGTCTATTCGACGAGCGTTTGTCGACCGGCCTGGCGGAGCGCGTAAATTTCTCAATGTACAGTTTCGGTGGCAATGTTGCACTCGAAAGATCCGGTGAAAGGGGACAATACAGGGGTCACTGTCACGCGACTGTCGTTTTTAACCTGAAATTTCATGTGTAATGAGAATGACACGATGGACTCTGACCAATGATCCTTGAATATTTCCATTCGTTTTTCGTCGGTGGTGTCCTTGTTGCTTTCTCCGGGTAATGTGTGTTGTACGTAATTGTCAAGAAAAAAATGAGAAAAAAAAGAGAGAATATGGTTTCGTGGGTTTCGTTTGCAAGGAGCTCACGATAGTTCTCACCTTGAACGAATAAACGAGAATCACAGTGGTAACCAACGAATCACAATCACGAGGAAATCGTACCAGAAACTCAATTCCCATCGTTGTTCTACGTTTTCGCCACAGCCTGACATTCGGGACCAGACGATTGCTTCACAACGAACTTCAACGAAGCCCTTACATTCAGCACAAAGGATCTTAACGGTTACAACAAAATTCTGACAAACGACAGAACGATACCAATATACATTGTGCTGGTCACGTGAGAGACTGATTTTCGTGAGGCTGCCCGTCAACCGGTGTTCACGTAAGAACGGAGTAACGCGTTGGCCCATGACAAAGACCGCTGCCCCGCTCCCTGACCCTTCATCCACAAAGTGCATACTTCTCAGGCCCGACAGGATGGAGGCGGATATAAACAAAACAATAACAAACAAACTTCAAAACAAGAAGAAAATACAAAATAAATGACCGATCTGTCTACTATAACAGTCCACTAAGAAAAACACTAAACAGTCTTTTATCACGCCCACAGACGAACACGAGAAACAACATATTTCCATAAAGCGAACAAAATCAAACATAAAATTCTTCGTGCGATTCCTCGACATGGATTAACGCTAACCGTACCAGATTTCAAATTCTGCGTTCTCATTTCGTTTATTCAACATTGATCTCTACATTGCCCGATTAATCAGCTCTTCAATTGTCCCCTTTCCTTTCGTTTCCGTTTCCACTAAAACAAACTGATCGTCCAACTTGTTTACCTTTATTTTGTAGCCAGCGACTCGACTGGTTACGGCAGAAAAAGTAGCTAGTACGGCCAGTGTTGAAACTGTTCAAATTTTCTACTTTATTCCCCGCCGTTTCTCTCGAGAACATTTCCCCGGGACCTTTACCGTTTCCGTTTTACAAGGACGTCCGGTGAGTTCCCGTGTCTATTCGCGGACCGTCGTTAAACGGCTGTATCCCCGTTATTCCTTTCGTTTTTTCTGTCGTTTTTACAGTTGACGGAAGTGCCCCCATCTTGTCGCGGCACATAACTTCATGGAGGAAGGATCGAGGAACGGGAGAACAGTTTTTATCGGAGGGCCGGCGCGCCGTTCCGTTTTCACGGTACGTGGGGTTGGCGGGCAGGCCACGAACGTAAAAACTTGGGCAACACCACGGTCACAGGAGCGGCAGCGTAACACGTACGTATTGTTCAGCAATCCCCGCAAGGATGTAACGAGCGGTCGGCGTCTTACCCTTTTCGTTAATTGCGTATCCATCATAAAGTTATGAACGTGCTTCTCCGCCCTTGTGAGCTCGAGCTTCCTGGAAACAACCGCCACCAGCAAGGCCGTGCATCCGGCGCCCTAAAAACACCGTGAAACGTACCTGTGAACTCGTAGCTATCTGTTGTACATTTAATTACGAAACTAGCGGCGGCCGCTCTAATTACGAACTAATTTAATTGAATCTTCGGAGTTCCCTGCCACCTACGAGGACAGC